AAAATATTGTAAGCATAATTAATTAATTATATTGTGAATGGTCCTATTCTTTTCTCGAAAAGTATATAAATATTCGGTTTTATTGGAACGCAATCTTAAGATTTTATTTTTAAACCAATTTGAGAATTAGTGTTTGTATTGGAAATGTAGATATAAATCTTATAAGTTTTTTTTTTTTTTCATTTTGAAAAGACAAAAGCTTCTTAAATCTCTGTTATTGGAAACCAATCGTGAATATACAGGGTGTTCTGTTAATACCGCTCTTATGGTATATTTTTAGAACACTTGTTGAAAATTAAGTTCAGAAATATCCATAAGGTCAAAAATTAATATTGAGTCTCTAATTAATTTAATTTTTCTTTTTATGAATAAATTAATGTCCTAATTTATGATTCACTTTTAACCATGTATTACTTAACAATATATTGCCTTATAAGTATATCTAATGTAACTTTGTGATTTTATCAACTAGGATTAACTAGACGAAATTTTAGTCGGCTAAAGGTTGTTTAACTTTTGAAATTTATCAGATTATAATTGTAAAGCCTTGGTAATACTCACTTTAACCTGTTAAACCTAGGCTTACCTTTCATTCTTGCTTTCAGTCCCTAGCATTTACATTCTTCTTTGCTATTTAACGTTTAGCGCAGCATTTATGTACTTATCTATATTTATTTATTTATCTTTTTGCTTAAACCGGGTGGCCACCCACTTGGAAAACCTTGAAAACCTGGAATTATCAGGGAAGTTTTTTATTCTGGAAAAAACTTGGAAAAATCAGGGAAATTTGGATAAAAACCTGGAAAAATCAGGGAATTTTACAGAAAAGCTGGAAATTTTTTCTGTGATAATTTTTTTTAATTTCACTAATTTAAATTGTTTACTAATTTTCTTAATTTAAATTATTTCATCCATTATACCCACTTTTTTAGACAGAAATGTATCGCCAAATAGTGGAAATATCATCAACTCAGCGATACTTTTCTTGCATCAAAATTTGCTCCATTACAGCTCTGTTAAAGTAGAATGCCACATAAAATTTTCCCATCGTAGCAAAACGAATGTAGAAACCTTTGACCGCCATGGGACTGTGTAATTTAGGAAAAATTGTGGTGGAGGTGGAAGAAGGGATAAGGATATTAGCTACTGTTTTTAAATTCTGTCCTTGGGCTGAATCCATTTATGACTCAAGTTTGTTCCGATGCTTTGGTGGCAATTTTTTTCTATTTTGACAAAATGTTTTTGTATTTTTAATTTTATAAAATTTTCCAAAAATTAGTTGGTTATAATTTAATAATAATGGATTTTATATTGCACTATTTTTCTGAAAGCTTTTGTACTCCCATTTAAGGAAATCTGTGAATTATTTTTTCTCAGCAAACCAACCAATCACATATTTTTTTTACAATCGCTGACAGCAATGTTTGTTGACAAATTGTTGCATTAATGCTAATTTTTTCTATTTCATTTTAGCATTATTTAATTTCAACATTATTTAATTTAAAAAAAAATGTTTTTTTTTTAAGAATTAACTATATATTAATATTTAATTTTACTCTTTTGTTGATCAATATATGATTTTTGATTCAAAATTTTGTACCAAAATATTAAAAAATAAATTAAAAAATCTTGTCAAATTGTCAAAATAAATTATTTTTTTCAAGATGATATGTTAAAAGAATTACATTTTGAATAAAATATTTTATAATACACTTTTCTTGTACACATCCTACACTTTATAAGAAAAAAGGAACAAAAACATAGAAACTTTAAGATTTTTATCTGGAAAACCTGGAAAAATCAGGGAAATTTGAAATCTGATTTGAGTGGCCACCCTGTAAATATAATGAATATTTTTAACCAATAAAAAGCAAGTATATACTTAAATTTTAAAACAAACGAAAGCATTAATTTTCTTCCCAATTGCATCCATCATTGGCGGTACTTCAAACATGCATTTCGTTCCTGGGATGTTAGTAATCATTGTTGGGACTGCAAGGACATTCTTAATTGCCTTTTAATGGGTCGATAACACCTTCAACACATTCCTTGAGATTAGGTGGTGGAAAACTCCCAACTTTGAAGTACATGTCGAGCAGAATAATTGGAAAGTAATTGAAGAACTTGGCGGATATGAGTGCGATGTTTCGAATCTCTTAACCCATCACTTTAATACTTTTAATTTAATTTTCCTGATCGAGTGTGATTTCATTTCTGGCTCTTTCATGTAACGATTGCTGACATGTGAGGCAATTTTGTAGAAGTGGACAGAAATGAGATGAGTTTTGTATAAAATGAGATCCAGACAAAATCAACACCATTTCAAACTTTGCAAGAAAGAAAAATCTTAATTTTTATCTGTCATCACAAAGCCAATTTTTTTTGAAATTTTTCGTAATATCATATTTTGGTAAAATTTTTATCGTTTTCTTACCTAAGTTATTGTAATTTATTATTTTGCGACTGAAGTCATATTTTATTTATGGTGCTTGGAAAGTGTAAAATATTTTTAAAAAATTCATTCAAAAGTTAAATTGTTTTCTTGAAAGCATTTTTATATTTTTTCTCTTCCTCTTTGTTTCTTTGAAAATTTTTACATTATCTTATTTAGTTATCTAAATGCGTATATCATATGTAAGATCGTCCAAAACTTTTAATGGACAATTTTACTTGGACCTTTCAGAGGACAGGTGGCCAAGTTTGGGTTCGAGTTTAGTGACATTATGTTTTTAAGAACATTAATCACAATTATCTTTGCTTTTTTAAGACATGTAAAACATGTCTCTCTTCATTTTAAACGCTTTCCTTTTTTGGTTGTAGTGTTATCTATGACCGAAATGCGAATATTTGTCGGGAAATTGAGGTATCTTACTTTAAAAATTTCAAATCTGTAATAAAAAAAGGGACAAGTTTACAAGATGCACCGGGTCGTGATAGCTTTGAAGGTAGGGCGTTTAGCCTAAGTGCAAGAGGTCGTGAGTTCGATCCTCGCCGGCAGAAGACTCCCTGTGTAGTAAATGGTGACTGGTGCATGTTAAATCCTCTATGTTCCCGTTGCAAATCAAACTTCTTAGGGTACTGTATTGGAGATTGATCGTTCTTTGGTTCGGTTAAAAAATACGATTTGTGGATGAGTGAAGGTATGTATTCATGAGTCCGCTCGATAAACGGACTATGACGTATCTTTGTGGCAGAAGTTGAATTATTGGCCATAGAACTAGAAGAAGCGAACCCCCTTTGCTCTAATGACATACGACATCAACAAAAATTGTGCCCCTACATCCCACTCTCAGAAAGTAAAGTCAGTTTTCAAGTTGTATCCTTTTTTTTAAAAAAATATTTCTACTCGTGTTTTTAAATATATTTGATTTGATTCGTATTAATTATATAGTAATTTGGCCATTTTTATACTTTTCCTTTCAAATCCTTTTTAATAATTATGTTATTTAAAAGAGTCTGTAGTAAAAGTCAAACAAAAATTAAGCTTGTTTCCAAATACCCTTATTTTTAGCGTTTTCTTTTAATTACACGCATAATTCATAGTAAAAAGAATTTCTTTTATTTATTGGGAATTAAGAAATATTGTTTTCACAAAAGTTAACTTCTGTTAAATTACAAATAAAAGAAAAAATCATTCCTTTCTGTGACAGAATAGCAGCTGAGAAAATAAATTTTTACTACATCTGTTAATAAATATTACTACTGATGTAATGTCATTTACTATATTGTTTACTTATCCAATAAAATCTGCAGTCCGAGATAAATTTTCATGTAGAAATCTTACGACCACCAAGCATTGAATAAATATTTTTATAAAAATCCGAATATTGAAAAAAGTATTATTGGGATGAAATTAAAATGACCAATTTATTTGTTAATAATTTATTCACATGTTTTATTTAGCTCAGAATGTATTTTTAAATCGACGGTTAATTCTATTTCAAAACAGTATTTCAATTCGAATTTTATGTAACTAATAAGATTAAATCTAAAACAAGAAAATAAAAAAAAGTAGCAAAAGCTTCAATAACACGGCATAAAGATAAGATTGCTAATTTATTGGGCAATTCGAATTGGATTGCGTTCCAACTAGTATTTGAAGACAAGACTAATAAATTATTAAACGATTCCGAACTTTTATTTAAGTCAACTAAGAAGAATCAAACGATTTTTTAAGTGAAAAAGAACGTCTTCATTATGATGAATTATTATTAATGATTTAAATTGTTTGTGTCTTTTAATCACTGTCCTGGTGTTGTTAACCATTCCTTTAATGTTTTAGAATCATTGTAAAATTCAAAGATGAGCTCTCGATGAAAACAATAACAAAAAATTTATTTCGATACTTCTGCCTTCTTTGAATTCTTAAAACAATATATGTTCTGTTCACATTATAAGATGCCATCTAGTGGCTCTGAATTACATTTTTATAATTAAGATGCCATCTAGTGGCTAATAATTTTACCAGATTCTACAAATGTCGTCATAACGTAGAGTGCAATGTTCAAGCAATACGCCTTATTCAAGATATATATATATATATATATATATATA